TTGTATGAAATCTTGCAATTAAGCATTAAGGCGTGTGAATCGATTTTCAACGTAATTTAATTAAAAAGTAACAACACGACCGTATTTCACAGGCAAGAATACTTCCTACCGAATGCGACATGGCAAAAGATTAAAAAACCTCCACTAATAATTAAAAGTATTTTGTTACATTTTGATTGTAAATATTTTGTTGTTACAAAAATAAATGGTACAGTACATTCCAATGACGCTTAATATTCGTCTGGTCGATGAAAGAAATATAGACGGGTTCATCTTCGATGAAAAAAGAATTTAAAATAGGGTTTTAACTGAATATATAACCAAGGCATACTTTCTAAAGAATATATAACATCCATGATGATGAGTTTGTCGATTTCGCAACCTTGTCATATTTCTTTCATAAACGGATATACATATATCGTTTCTTTCAGCCCTGACAAAGTATTTACAATTTCTACATAATGTAAACCATTAAAAGCTGATCAAGGGGGCTTCTACGGCTTTTCTCGCGTGCCTCCACTCGTTTAAATCCGCCAGAATTCTTCTACCGTACATGTTATGCAATTCGCGAAACGTTATTCTCGTCCGTGGTATGTTCTCTGTTCTTCCCGGGGCAGATCTAACGCTCTGCGAACGATGATGCAACTCTGACCTGTTGAAAGGATTGTGTCGCTGTCTAGGAGGAGCTTTCGGAGACTGGGAAGGAACCATCACCATTGTTGTCTCTTCTTCCGCTGCGTCCAATTGCCTTTGCAATTCCGCTACCATCAGTTTCATATAGTCGTAGCTTGCACATGCCAAAGCTTTCATCCATTGCTCCATCGATTCCTACAAATTTCCAACATTAGAGATCCGCTGCTTTCGTTGGCCGTTATCGTAGTATATATAACACAAGAACGATAACTCAGTAACAGCTACGACAGAGATCAAATTTATCGAAAAATACCTGAGACTCGGCTGCAAGAGCATAGTTTCTATTATTTGGGCCGTGAAACACAATTTGGAAACCAAACTGCTCCTCATCCTCTGCCAATTCGATGGTACAACCTTCGAGAACAATCATGCCTACTGGTTCCTTGTCACCGCGTCGGTCGAAATAAAACAATATGTTCCCTTTGAGAACGAACCATCTTCTTTGATAGCCCCGGTTTAATTCACCACGTTTGTTCAACCAACCTTCGCGATCTACTGGCGTTGCCGAAGTCGCGAAAGCTACCATGTTCTTCTCGTTTATTTTCATTGCATTTGAAATCTCGGTACTCTCGACCGAGTCAGAGGCAAATCTGCTTGACTTTGTGTTATATCCTTCGCGATTAATCTGTCGCGATGATTGTCATTAAAAAGAATTGTCTGCTTTCACTTTTCGTGTCAAACTATGACGTAGGGTAACCTTGTAGTAACTTTTAAAATGTACTCGGCTGACGTGTTTAAAGTCGGTACGCAACGATAAATCTGCAATATTTACGACGCTCCTCGAAACTGTATTAAAGCTTGTTTTCTTTCTTGCACGACGAGCGACTCGTTTACATATTCAAAAGAATTTGACATAAGGTTGTTGCGTTCACAGTTACACCTAACCTTCCTTGACAGTGGGGGACAAAGTTAGCAAAAGTTATACGGACAGGTATTGCGTGTACGTTGTTGCTTGTCGTATACGTTAAATACGCTTATACGTACATTATTATCATTTGTTGAGCAGTTAACAAGCTGAGAATACAAGATGGGAAAGGGCTTTAATAATTATATGTGCAAAAAGTTTTTCCATCCAGCGTCTCGAGACAATTTAAAACGAGTATGTATCCATCGTTGTACACTTTTCTAGGTTATCCGTGATTTATACCCTGATTAAATTTACAATCTTTTTTACACGCACAAGGTATGGATGGCCGAACAACAAGCAGAGGCTTATAAGAAGAAGCAAGAGGAATTACGCGTTCAGTATGAAAAGGAACAGGATCTCCACAATAACAAGTGACTTGGATTGCGTTATTTTAAAAAAAATCTCATTGGCATGTTTTGTTTTTTTGCTTATTTTTGCTTATCACGTTTATTATTTCAGAGCTTTACTAAGCAAAGAAAGCAAGGACAAGCTCAGTGTAAATTTTATGTACGAACCACCACCTGGAGCAAAAAAAGAGAGAGAAAAGGAAGACAATGAGCCAGAATATAAATTCGAGTGGCAACGCAAGTACAATGCACCGAGAGAAAGTTATTGCAAAGGGGATAGCGAAATAAGAGATCAGCCATTTGGTATCCAAGTACGTAATGTTCGTTGTATCAAGTGTCATAAGTGGGGACATATAAATACAGGTTTGTACAATAAATATGTTATAAAAGTAATAGAATTGCAAATGTAGCGCGACAAGTTTATTATAAGTTTATTGTCAAACGATACATATTTCGATCGTAGACAAAGAGTGCCCTCTGTACAGTCAAGCAATGAGCGTAGTGATGGCAAATAACTCGCCGACGTCAGCTCCAGATGCTTTGATGCTGGTTCAACAAATGAGAGAAGATGGATTAGCACTTAAAAAGTATGCATAGATTTAGAAAGATCTCTTACAATTTTTATATTTTTGACATTTTTCTTCGTTTCTTTTTTCTACGCAAACAATCTTCTTTATACCACTATAAAACTAAATATCGAGTTTTATTTACAGATCTGCTCTCAGTGCTCAGCAACATTTACGAGTTCCCGAGCATGAACATCTTATGGTTTCAGACGACGAAGAACAATCTGAAATTACATTTTTAAAAACCTTGTCTAAAAAAGAAAAAAAGAAGTTATTAATGTACGTATGCTCTTGTGTCTGTGCTTATGTAGCTTGTACGTATTTTAATTTGGAATTGAACGTGCTTTAACGAATAATAACGTTAATAATTGTAGGAAGTTGCGACAACTCGAGAAGAAGACCAAAAAAGCAGAAAAGAAGAAATTAAAAGAGAAACGAAAGAAACGCAAAAAAAGTAACAGCGATACAGAAACTGATAGTAGTACCAGCAGCAGTAGTACTTCAAGCGCTAGTGCCAACAGTGATAACGCGAACGCCATTGATAAAAGTTTAAACGATCGTACGTCGGAAAAACTTGGGAACAAACGAAAAAGAAAAGAGAAAACAGATTGCATTTCAAATGGTGATTCTTCGAATCGTTATCAGAAAAAAGAGAGAAATAGAGTAAGAAATTTGGAAGAGGATCGAAGGAGGAAAGTTGAATTTAAGTACGAAAGGAAATCCAAACGCGAGGAAGCTCGTAGAAAGGATGCGAAAGAAAATAAAAACAAGGACTACGATGTCGGTCACGGGAAAAGGAAGTTTGTAGAGTCTATCGAGAATAAAATTTATAAAAATCAAAACGAAAAGAGAACCAGAAGATTTTAAAATTAATCGTGTCTTTACATATTGGAAAGATACACGCTAGGTGTACGGGAACACGTTTGATATTTGGTATTCGTGTGAATTTCAAGGAGCGTAACAAATAAAATACCATGTATGCGCAGTGAGTCACGTACTCTGTGTTGTGTACGAGTGGATATCTGGACATAAATACGACAAGATAACGTTCAATTCTCATCATTGTATTTCCTTTTAACGCGTTTTATATAGTCAAAAATCGAGTCAAAGGAAAAATTGAAAATTTACATCACATACATACACACACACACAAATATTTCATACATCATCTTGCACGATATGATCTTTATAACTATAAAAAAAGTTTCAACAAATACTTCTCCAGTTTTATTCAACTACAGTTTAACACGACTCGCTTTGCATATCCTTTCGATAGAAAGCACAATGTACGTAACTAGTTAAGTTCAACTAGTATAAGTTTCAAGTGTACGATTTACAGAAATTAAATTTTCATTAATATTCTGCGTGGAACAAGTTTTTGTTTTCAAAAGACTCTTTGCATAAATGTTTTATTTTAGACTTGTTATTGTTCATTTGCAGATATCTATATGTAATCGATATTTTATCGTGACTACGTAACATTAATACCTGCGAGTATTAATAGAGTTTCTGTTTTGAAAAATGTTCTCGAGAGTGTACAACTGTTTGATAAATACGGAAACAGAATTTCTATCGTAACGTTATATATATACACAACGTGAATGATTTAAAAATATAAATATTGCCTGCGTGAATTTGAAACAGTAACGTGTAATAGACAAACGTTCGTCGTGAAATTAAGTGTTAAGCTTTTTGATATTATTCTTTAATTACAGATACCAAAACAGCGAAATAATTACTAAATTAAGTTAAAATAATGCTACCGAATGTTGTATAGGCATCTACGTTTAAAAATGCTTTGCTCACTTCTTCCTAACGTTGTGCCGTTTACGGTGGAAAGACACGTACATACACGTAACACATACATTTTTGTCAGCATACTGTATTTTTTTTTTCGATTCAAAGAAGTAAGAGAGCATTTTCATATCTTCTCTACATTTATCTTACAAGATGCTAATTTCTCACTCTTAACATTTTACCTTTATAACGTATTACTATTAACTTATTAACGTAACTAGCTATTAACAAGAATTTTACATACTTATTACTATACACGCGTGCATAGGTGAGCGCGCATTAAGTTTTTCTATGGAAAATTTAATATACTATCCAGCTGTGATAGCTGCGTGAACACTTGGGCAGTTAAAATTTTTTGTATAATTGTCATTTTCACAACGATTATATGTAAAAAGTAGAATCGGAAATCTAAATCAAAATGGTGATCTACCATCGTATCATAAACTTAAGCGCATTAACATCCTCCGTTGTTACAATGAAACGAGAGATATTATATAAAAAAATTTGTTCGAGTGAAATATACGGTGGTATATGCTTTAAACCATTGAACGAATGCAACTCGAGAGGAACACAAAAACGTGCAAATTTTAATCAAGGGTCGTATAAAATATCCCCATTAATTCTTTGTTTTTCTCCATTAACCATTACTGTAAAATATATTTTTGAAACTTTAATTTACACAAAGTGAGATATTACATACGACCATGAATTCTTCTATTTTTTTTTTTTTTT